TACAACCCCCTCCTTGTATCCCTCTCTCTTCCTAATCTCACTCTCTTTTCTCTCGACATTTTCTCTCCTAGCTAAACCCTCACGCCACTTCCATGGCTTCCTAGCTAGCTTCTAGCTCCTAACCTCCTCTTCACATGGTACCAGAGCAGGTTGCCCCTCCCGGGCCTGCTCCCCACTCTTATGCCGCGTACTCGCCCTTCTCTTGTCATTTCCGTGCCGCCGTGGCGGCCATGCCGAGCTGCCATGGCAGCTCCGTCCTGCTCCCGTCGCAGCCCCGACGCGCTGCCGTGGCATCGACGTCACTCCGTGGCGACGTCGTCGTGCTGCCGTGGCAGTGTCGACGTGCCGCCGCGCTGTGGCGGCATCGTCATGCTGCCATGGCGGCTTCGTCGCGCGGCAGCAGGACGCGCTTCGTTTTAGGCGCCAGCCCTGACGCCCGCACGCCAGGCCAACGCCAGCCACGGGCGTGTTGCTGGACCACACCCACTTCCCCCCCTGTATCTTCCGCTCCTCCAGCCGCAGCTGCTGCCTCAATGCCCGGTCGTCGTCGGTTCGTACCACGCCGACAAGTGCCGCGAGCCTCGCCGTAGCCGCCACCGTCGTCAAAGCCGCCGCCGCTGATACCGCTGGCCTTTCTTGCCGCCGCACGCCGCCGCCGCCGCCGCTGTCGTCACCGCCACCGCTGACGCCGTTGCTGCCACCCGCTGGGGGTGTCACCGCTTCGCACGAAGGGTAGAAGACTCACCAGCTGCGGCACATCGGGGTGCCAGGGTTTTGGAGGTGTTTCGTGTGGGGTGGGCCTGCCACTACCAAGCCTAGGGGGTATGTTAAATTATATTGGTTATGTATAATTGTAGGCTTGGTAGGTGTTACTGAAACCTACTGTAAAGGGTACAACCCCCTCCTTGTATCCCTCTCTTCCTAATCTCACTCTCCTTTCGCTCGACATTTCTCTCCTAGCTAAACCCTCACGCCACTTCCATGGCTTCCTACCTAGCTAGCTTCTACCTCCTAACCTCCTCTTAACAGCCGCTTGCATTGGGGCCATGCCGCCGCACTCTGCCGCCGCCGCCGCTGTGGACGTTGCCGCCACTGTGGACGCTGCCGCCGCTGCCGCCATTGCCGCTGCAGCCCTTGCTGTCGACGTCGCTGCCTCACGCGCCGCGGGGTTGACCGGGGGGTGGTGTAGCCGTCGCTGCTACTGAGTATGGGGGTGCTACGGTAGATTTAGGGGGTGTGTGTGGCTTAGTGTCCCGTGTGTGGTGTGCTTTCGGCTACCAAGCCTAGGGGGTGTGTTAAATTATATATTTGATATATAATTGGTAGGCTTGGTAGGTGTTGCTGAAACCTACTCTAGAGGGTACAACCCCCCTCCTTATATCCCTCTACCTTCTGTTTTCGACCTCTTTTCTCTCGTAAATTTCTCCTAGCTAAACCCTCGTGCCATTCCATGGCTTCCTAGTGTTTCTTAGTTTGACACTGTGTCTATTACTATCCTGTGCTAATGCTGAAAGCAAGTATTTCTCCCTCAGAACACACAATATCATGGGAAACGATCTTGTTGTATAGCAAACATCAGAGCCAAGGACAGCACAGCAACCAGTGTGGTACAATTGTGACACGACCTCAGAGGAGTGTGCAGTGCAGTCGTCATAGCATATCATAGCTCCATAGTACAGCACACTAGATAGGGCAAATACATGGCAAGGGAACAAGGGTGAGCAGGCCATGCTAGTTATCAAAGCATGGGAGGGAAGGGTGGGCAAGTTAGAACAGAAAAAATGCAAATGAGACTAGGTGGCAGGTCTGAAAGACCTGCCGATAGATGAAGGAGTTTGTCTCCTTTACAGCAAACTCCTCTTCTAGTCGAATCACAATCTGTAAATTTTTTACTACAAAAAAATTCTCATGTTTGTAAGTGCAGCAGATGCGCAGAAAGATCTACAATGGCCTGGTCGGCGGCCATGCCAGTGCCATATAACACATGCAAAGCATCCATAAAAACATTGTGTCTAAATTCATAACAGGCCTTAGGCATCACTTAGGCCAGCACCCTACATTCTCTTTGCTTATCTTACCGTATTCCCCCGTATATAACACCCTAGGGTATTGTCAAAATTTCATAAAAAAAACGTATGGGTGTTAACAGTAGGTTGGAAAAATAAAACACCCATGTCTTATGTAAAATGCAAAATGAATTTGGGTTGTAACACGCACTCTGAGGCCAAAACTTCACCGAGCATCTGCTAACGAGGAATCTGCTACAGAGATTGCGTACTCTGACAGGGTCAGTTTGGTGCCTTTGAAAACGGTGGGAGATTGATGCTGCAGCAGTGCCAGGTGTCGTTGACCAACCTCGTAAGAGTGCTGTGAACAGAGTCACGACCATTGCTGACGCGATCGAAATGGTTCAACAGCAAGATGGACGGTCGAGATCCTCTCGACACTTTTAGTCTTTCGATTTCATGTTGCCACTTGTACTGATTCTTCTGCCCGTCTTTGCGCTGCGAATGGCAGCTGACGCGATTTTAATCGTGTTCGTATTTTTGCAGCTGAGGGAACCTTGGTAATGAAGGACAGAAACTATTTAAAGGCAAGAAAAACGTGCAGGGTGTTATGTAAAATGCAAACCCAAAAAAGCGGGTACTCTAAAAAATGCGTCATATCATTAGCTATCCCCCGCATAAGCCACCCGTGGGCCGACTATTTCGGCGGGTCTTATATACGGGGGATTACGGTAGCAGAGCAGTCCAGTGTGGAAGCAGGGGAATGAGACCAATCAGAGTGGTCATCAGTGATCTGAGGAAACCTGTTGAGGGCAGGGAAACAGGATATGGAGAAAATCTTAGGCCCCAAATGCAGTTCAAGTGATGCAAAGTTTGGCACTGACAGCAACGTCATACAGCAGGGACTAAGGATGCAGCCGTGGGCCTAACAGCAGAGCGTTTTGCACTTGTAGAGATGGGACACAGCTTTGGAAGGGTACGCAGTGAGAGGCAGATTGAAGCGAACCTTGGCAAGGACTGACTGACAGGCCAACGCGCTACAGTAGGGACCAGGGATGCAGATTCAACGCCCTATGCCCAGCAGCAGAGCTGTTTGCCAAAGCAGAGCTGTGCGCCCAACGCCCAAATGTAGTGTCAGGAACAAGTCTGTGCGAGGGATGCCTGGTGAGAGGCAGGGAGCTGCTAACTTACTTACGCGGCGCGACAAACCCTAAGAGCCCGTGAAGCGTCAGAGCACTCCCACTCATGCCCTAGGCACTCACTTGTGCAAAAGGCACTCGCGAGTGGATGAGGCGGAAAGGTGGGACTAACTCGACAATGTGAAACACACTCGCTCACTCATAAGCGCTCACTTGTGGGAGAGGCACTCAAGATAGCACGAAGCAGAAGGCAGGTAGTACCTCGTGAGTGTGAGACGCACTTGCTCACTCATAGGCACTCTCTTCTGCCACAGGCTTACATCGCACGTGCAGCGGCAGAGCACGCCTCACTCATGTGCTAGGCACTCACGAGTGGATGACACAGAAAGGTGGCACTAACACCCTCGTGTGAGGCACACTCGCTCACTCATAGACAATCACTTGTGGGAGAGAAGCGCATGAGTGCATGAAGCAGCAAGGCGGCACCTACTCGCGAGTGTGAGACGCACCTCACTCATTGGCACTCACAGAGTCCAGGGGTGAGTGGCTGATCGTCGCTGCCCTCGATTGTGCCGTTTGAGAGAATCATCGTGCCACCAACTGTCACGCTGCCGCCACTCGCGGAAATCCCGTCCGTATCGCACGTTGAACGTTAACGTACCAACATTAATCCCAGGAATTGAAATCTTGAGTGTCCGCTGGCGTTATGGCTGCTTCGGAAGCCATCGCTAGGAATAGCACGAGTGTGAAGAAACAGTACGCGCAGCGCAGTGGTGCAATCAGGAGGGGAGAGCAGAACAGAGCAGCAGCGCGCCAAGCCAAGCAGCAGCGTGACGCAACCATTGGAGTGGGGGGGGGGGGGAGAGTAGTTCAGACAAGCAGCGCGGCGAGGCGGCGAGCAGCTGCGCGGAGTCGCCAGCAGCGCGGTGTAATCATAAGGGGAGGCGAGAGTAGAACAGAGCAGCAGCGCGCCGAGCCGAACAGCAGGGCGTGCAGCCCGCCACTGCGCCAGGGGTCGTTCCAGCCCACAGCACCTCTGCTGCCGTCAACGGCATCCCCGCCATGCGGCCCGCCACAAAAAGTTCTCCCCCTTTCTACTGTCACATTCAACGTCGCGACTATCGGAAATTAAAAGCACCTGCAGACTATTCTGAACTAGAATCCTTACTAAAGGGAAATCTTCGTCTCTTGTGTCGGAAAAAAGTGTAACTTATTGACACGTGCTGTCCGTCGGACTATCGAGCAGGGCGCTGCAGCAGCAACGATCGTCAAACAATTCACCTGCCAAAGCCATGGCTCCGGCAAGGCAATGTGGTTTCGTCTGGTCGGCTCTTATCTATGGCTGTGTCAAACAAACATGAGAGGCAGCGATCCATACGCCATACAAGCACCTACTGTACCTTACGATACTCGGAATGGTTGATCAATTTGGTTTAGGATTAGGGTTTGGTGTAGGCGGTTGAATCGCCACGACGATTGGAGGGAAAAACATTTGCCTCGTCCAATCAAATTGTACGCCACGTCACACATAATAATCTCGCTTTGTGTGGCGCTGCGCTCGTTGACGACGGCACAAAAAGTCGCGAACTCTCTCGCGAAGCTCACCATCCAATGCCAACGGACTCACTTCCTCGCTCCCCTCACCACAACCCAGTCCAGGTCTGTCGGAAACCTTGTCCATTCCGATTGGCCAATTTCGGATTGCGTGGATTCGCAGCGAGCAGGTGGGGAGATTTCAGAGCGTCGTCGATTCGGATGGCACGCGATCCGTGAGGAGTTAACATCCAATCACAATCGCGCCTGAGCCATCACCTCCCTCCCTCCCTCCAAGCTCATCCTGCTCCCCCCGGCCTCCTCACGTTCAAAACACTCACCAGTCCGAATAGGTAATCACAAGCTTCAGAATTTTAGCAGCGGTCACCTCCAGGATTTTTCGTACCACAGCTTCAGTTTCCGCGAGATTTCCACAATGGCTGCTCTCGCTAACGCTACTGTGCTCCCCTCCACCTTCGTCGGCCAGAGCGCTGAGCTTGCCGCCAAGGTGAACAATGTCGAGGCCCGCGTGACCATGAGGAAGACCGCCAAGGCGGCTTCCAGCAGCCAGTTCTACGGCCCCGACCGCAGCCTTTTCCTGGGCCCGTACTCCTCCCCCCCGTCGTACCTGACTGGCGAGTACGCCGGTGATTACGGCTGGGACACGGCTGGTCTGTCTGCCGACCCCGAGACCTTCGCCAAGAACCGCGAGCTCGAGGTAAGCTAAATTTTGTCTCTCAGATTCGACCATCAATCTCATTCGTGAACATGCACATGGTTGCTTGTTCTTCGGTGATCTTTCTGTTCATTATTCCGTCAGAAGAACCATTCTCCTGAGCTCAATATCGCAATGCATTGAAGCGTCCTTACCTCTTTCCCTGTTTCCCTGCGTCCTTACTTTCCAGGTGATCCACGCTCGCTGGGCTCTCCTCGGCGCGCTCGGCTGCCTCACCCCGGAGCTCCTCGCCGGCAACGGCGTGAACTTCGGCGAGGCCGTGTGGTTCAAGGCCGGCGCTCAGATCTTCTCCGAGGGTGGCCTCGACTACCTCGGCAACCCCAGCCTGATCCACGCGCAGTCCATCCTGGCCATCTGGGCGTGCCAGGTCATCCTCATGGGCGCCGTCGAGAGCTACCGCGTGGGTGGCCTGGAGGGCTTCCAAGAGGTGGAGGACCCCCTGTACCCCGGCGGTGCCTTCGACCCCCTGGGTCTGGCTGACGACCCAGATGCCCTTGCCGAGCTGAAGGTGAAGGAGCTGAAGAACGGCCGCCTCGCCATGGTGTCGATGTTCGGCTTCTTCGTCCAGGCCATCGTCACCGGCAAGGGTCCCCTGGAGAACCTGTCGGACCACCTGGCTGACCCCACCGTCAACAACGCCTGGGCCTATGCCACCAACTTTACCCCCGGTGCTTAAATGTTTTGCCTTGTACATTTATATTTAGTAGCCTAAAATAATTTATGATATTTTCATATCTCAATTCTTGATTTCACATTGGCGACATCTAAAGCTCGGAAAGTAATCAGAGTTCAATTTCCATCTGTTGGGAACGAAGATGAATTGGAACGGTGTTAGCACGTTTCCTGCATAGACTAAGCAACTTAAGCAATCTGCAAAGCTTTATGGCGTGATGGCAGTTTCAGAATCCAAGCTTGCATGGCGCAGACAATAGTAGCAGTGAGAGCTTAGTCGAGGCACATTATGAGTGACTTAGTGAGCTACTCAAGTTCTCGCTTCCCTCACATTTCCCAACCATTCCGTCCACCAAGGGAGCCAATTCAACCCATCTCGGCGTTGCCTTTGCGGAGGGTGGTGTAGCTAGTGTTGCTGCCTCCAAAAGTTTTGATTTGGCCCACCCCTCCGCTGCTGTTGGTTGATTTTGGCTATAGGTCTCGCTCGCATCCAATAGACCTGACGATTGGAAAAAAAAAAAAAAAAAAAAAAAAAAAAAAGCCTCGTCCAATCAACTTGCACGCCACGTCATACAACCAAGTTCGCCAAATTGCTGGAAACCTGGTTTTGATGTGGTGTTGGACTCGTGTTAACGAAACCAGCGAACACGCGCGAACTATTCCCCCCTCCTCCTTACCACACACTCGCCACGTTTGTTACTTCAGCAATGATGCGAACCATGCTTCACCACAACCTCCAACCACATCAGGCGGGAACACACAGCCGTCGTGATTGGCTGACCACCGATTGCGTGGATTTCCGGAATGTGGCAGGAGGCAGATTCCCAAGCATCGCAAAGGTTGAAGGCACGCGGTTCGCAATCCGTCAGCAACCAATCAGAACCCGTCTGGATCCAAACCCAAGAAATCCATCCAACCTTGAGCTTCTCCTCTCTTCTCTCGCTTTCCTCCTCCCTCAAGTTCAAAAGGCACTTCCATTCAGCTGTTGAACAAACATAGCTGCTCTGTTTCAGGAATTCCGTAATATACTACAGCTTCTGTTTCCAGTCCAGACATCTACTAAACGCTAAGATGGCTGCTCTCGCTAACGCCGCTGTGCTCCCCTCCACCTTCGTCGGCCAGAGCGCTGAGCTCGCCGCCAAGGTGAACAATGTCGAGGCCCGCGTGACCATGAGGAAGACCGCCAAGGCGGCTTCCAGCAGCCAGTTCTACGGCCCCGACCGCAGCCTTTTCCTGGGCCCGTACTCCTCCCCCCCGTCGTACCTGACTGGCGAGTACGCCGGTGACTACGGCTGGGACACGGCGGGTCTGTCCGCTGACCCCGAGACCTTCGCCAAGAACCGCGAGCTGGAGGTAAGCTTGATTGACTCTCTTCAGATTGGAACAATCTCTGTAAAATTGTACATCGTTCAAAGAACCGGCCGTTTTAATGGATCTGGCTCTGGTTCTGGCTCTTCCAACAATTCTCAGTCATAACAGTCCATCATTCAGCAGTGTGCACAGTGCTGAAATGTATCCAGGCGGCCTCACATGTCTTCCGGGTTTGATGTTTTTATCCATTTCAGGTGATTCACGCACGCTGGGCCCTTCTCGGTGCTCTGGGCTGCCTCACCCCCGAGCTGCTGGCCGGCAACGGCGTGAACTTCGGCGAGGCCGTGTGGTTCAAGGCCGGCGCTCAGATCTTTTCCGAGGGCGGCCTCGACTACCTCGGCAACCCCAGCCTGATCCACGCGCAGTCCATCCTGGCCATCTGGGCGTGCCAGGTCATCCTCATGGGTGCCGTTGAGAGCTACCGCGTGGGTGGCCTGGAGGGCTTCCAAGAGGTGGAGGACCCCCTGTACCCCGGCGGTGCCTTCGACCCCCTGGGTCTGGCTGACGACCCCGATGCCCTTGCTGAGCTGAAGGTGAAGGAGCTGAAGAACGGCCGCCTCGCCATGGTGTCGATGTTCGGCTTCTTCGTCCAGGCCATCGTCACCGGCAAGGGTCCCCTCGAGAACCTGTCGGACCACCTGGCTGACCCCACCGTCAACAACGCCTGGGCCTATGCTACCAACTTCACCCCCGGTGCTTAAATGTATTGCCTTTCCCTGTAAATTTATTAGTATACACTTAGGATAAATGAATTCCAATTCTCCAGCTCTATTATCCCTAGGCTTACCCACTGTCCTGGCACGCGCGTGTAACGAAGCCTTGATTGTGAAAGCTTGCTTAGGTCCTCTTGTAAAGGCAGCGTGCTTCATTTCATCTGGGAAACATACATGGTTCTCGTCCAACACATAACTACGCACAAGAGGGTGGGTGGGCGGGGAAATTGAACTAGAGAAACTAGAAATGAAGAACGTGGGTGAGGCCGAATGGCCTCACGTCCCTCTTTTGTAGGCAAAAGAGGGTGAGTAGCGCTTCGTCGCTGCCTTTGCTGCGTTGGCCCTCGCTACACTCTCACAATACACATTTTTAGAAAGTGTTACACACTTTCAAAAAAATTACATATTGTGAAAGCTTGCTTAGGTCCTCTTGTAAAGGCAGCGTGCTTCATTTGATCTGGGTCTTCTGAGACATGTGCAGAAGGGGTTGGCGGTGGCGTTGAATAGATAGCTGGTGCTGATTGGGCGTGGGAGCGGTGGCTGCGTCTTGGAGTTGCATGGAGGCTTGAAGGAGTTGGTCATGCGCGATGGTAACGTAGAGCTCCTTGGCATTATCGCTGCGCCAACGGCCAAGTCGCTTGAACAGCCGATCGGATATCCCCAGTGTTGGAAATATCTCAAGGACTTAAGCGTTTCTGAAGTGTAACACTGTACTCGAGGAAGACTACAGGGGAGCACGCGAGTCAACGGAGGTTACACGAGGGGGCGGACAAAGAATGCGAAAGGACTCGAAAGGTCGCAACTGGAGGTTGCGACTGACCGTTACAACATCACGGATGGTAACCGAAGCGGCAATCGAGTCGCTGTGCGACTCGATAAACCGTTTCTGTAACTGTATTCTACAACTGCTTTCTTATCTACTATATATTGCTGTATGCTTGTTTCTTTAATCAATCACTTGTTCTCACATACTAGTACAAGGGTTCAACCGTCTCAACTTCCGCTGCACTACTCCAAGTCTCAAGTCTCTACAAGCTGGGACTTAGTCTCTGCAAAAGATCCTAAGGGCTTTTCTCAGCCCAACATGGTATGAGAGCTGGTCAGAGACCAAACTCCCAGCAACTACGTCCTATCAACAACCTGCAACTCAACTCAATTCAACGACTTCATTGATTACAAGACATGGACAACAAGGGCAAGAAAGTCTCTACGGGCTCACCCAGCGCCCAAGAAACTCAACACGGCAACTCTGGTCTGCACACCTCAGGACTGCAGACAGAGACCGGGACTGCTCAAGAAACAACGGGAAGAGTACCAGAGATGGTGACCCCGTCTCCCTCTTCAAGTGTGGACCCGAATCTCATGGAGAGATTCTTCAGCTTCATGTCACACTTCGATCAGCAGCAGCAGACAAGGACACCTGCGCACTCAACACAGAGCAATGGAGGGAATATGGGATTAGCGCCGATGAGCCTCGACAACTCATCCTTCGGGCGACACAATCAAGCGCCTACCTTTGCGCCTTATCATTCTTCGCCGGGGACGTTCGAATTCATGCCGCCCCGTGCCCAGCCAACAGCAGCTGCTTCACAACAAACACCGAATGAAATCTTAAGTTTACAGGCGCAGTTCTCACACGTGATCAAACTTCAGACATCCTCACCGTTCAACGGACACGACTTCTTTACCTGGAGCTTCGAGTTCGAGCTGCTGATGGAGGCCGCGCATCTTCTGGGATACTTCAACGGGTCCCTGCCATTCCCAAGCAACGGCACTGGGAAGGAACAAGAGATCTTCACGTATCAGTCGCTGCTGGCGTACACGGTACTCCTGAGAAACCTGTCACCACAAGAGCAGCAGAGCATCAGAACGTATCGGAGTTATGGAAACTCCGCGGAGCTCGCATGGCACCACCTCAAATGCCTTTACCAAGCAAACGACAGCGTGACACAAAGCAGACTCATGCAACAGCTGACAACAATACAGATGAAGACCGGGGAAAAGGCGATGCAGTATATGAGTCGCTGCCAGACCCTCCGCGACCGCCTGCTTCGGTGCGGAGGAACGATCACTGAAGAAAGCTTCGTGACACTTGTCCTCGCCGGGCTCGGGCCAGAATGGAGAACCACACGATCACTTCTTCGAGCCCACGGAAGAATTTCGGAGATGCACCTCTGCGCCGAGCTTCACGCTGAACAACAGGAGATGGACCTGTTCGAGGAAAGACAACCAAGGAAGCAACAGCAGTTAGTCTTCTACACTCAAAGAAGAAATGACAACAACTACAACCGACGCAGCAAGCAAGATCAACGTGACAACCGAGGACTCACCATCGTGCCGCCGTTCTGCCACAACTGTCAGACTTCCGGGCACTCCAAGGTCAACTGCAACCGCCCTCGCGTTTACCGTGCAGCAGACCCACAAGTCGCTTCCACTCAAGCAAGTCCTCCAAGGCGCTCTTCAACATCTGCACAACAAACACCCAACATCATCAACTGCATGGTACACATCGACAACTGCGCACCCGCTTCACCACCCACTTACGCACCAGACGAAGAGGAATTCCCGCCGCCGCGCTCGCAAGGACTTCAGGTCAACCCGACATACGCTGCAGTCGCTAACGCCGAACCCACCGGGCGGAACACCTGGTTCTTGGACAGTTGCTGCGGTCAGCACATGTGCTCCTCCGGACGCTTCGTACAACACGAGCGACGCCTCAACCGTGACGTCGTCATCACCGTCGCCAACAACGAAAACCTGAAAACAAATAGACAAGGCGTGGTTCAGTTACAATCAATGGAGACAAACGTTATTCTTCAGCTCAACAAGGTCCTCATCGTCGACAATCTGGGATACAACCTATTAAGCGTAAGCCAACTAATGGCTAAGGGGATTCACCTGGAGTGCGACTCCTTCTCCAACGAGTTCCGACTTTACCACGGGAAGGGCGGTCTCTTCATCGGTCGTGCCCTCCTGAAGTCCGGTGTCTTCGTGTTGGACTTCGTCCCCGACCGCGGAACTGCCG